AATAGGCGTAGTATAGAAGACCATAGTGCAAGACGACAACAACGATATGAACGGAAAAAAGTTATTGATGATAAATTAAATGAGATGATGTCAGAAACAAATGAAGATGGTTCTCCACTTTGGATTCGTGCTTATCTTGAAAAATGTTCATCTTTATCCAAGGCATACAAGTATAATCGTCCTTTCACCGAAAGATCATGGTATATAATAGATATGTAATAGTCATTATTTAGATTCTTCATTTCTAACTCGATTAAAATAAAATATAATAGGAAAATTCTCAAGCAAAAACTAGTTCGAGAATACTATGAATTGTTGGATGCAGATGAAACCGATGATACGGATTTTAATTGTAGCGATTTGGATAATGATAACTTTGAAGCCAAAACCTAAAACCGTTGATTGGAGATTTCAATATTATATAAACTCTACGTAAATTTTATTTTTTTTTTTTTAAATTCAACTTACAAAAAAACTTTGTTTACATGCTTGATTGCTTATATATATATATATATATATAAGGAATAGCTTGTAATATTTCTCTTTTCATGTATATTTCATAGTTTCGCTTCATTTGTCATTGTCATGCATAGACTCATTATCATTTGGCATCAAAGCTTGATATTGACATAATTATTATAGAAGCAGCACAATTTACATATTTATTTATATGCTTGTTTTTTGTAGCAAACGCGTTACTTGTAAAAAGTGTCTTAAAAAAAAGGTGTTCTAAATAGAGATTTGATAAATAATCATATGGAAATTAACAGATAGTCAAAGGGAACGCTCTCGTGAGTTTTTCTTTTTTCATAACGTATTACAGCACACAAGTAAAATGAGTAAAAAATTTTGTTCAAATTTCAGATGGTGCGAAATTGTATTAGGGCATTAACAATACTATAATTTATGATTTTTAAAATAATTTTAAATAATTTTAAATACACAAACCTATAGCAATAGTTAATTCACCGAGCCGGATCAACTAAAACAAAATATGAATGAACTCATGTACCATTGGGAGAAAAACTTTCTAGGCAAATGAATTTTATATACCCGTAATATAACGAAAGTTATTAACTTTCAGAAAATGCTAATATACTTTCAGAACTTAAAGATTCTGACCTATTATTTAAACTAACTCTATATAATCAAGTTGTAAATGTTCTCAAAAATCAGGTGTTTCCCTAATAATACGAATCATAAACATATAAATGTATACTTTCGTATTGGTTCTTCCTGTAGGGAAAAAAACTCATTATTGTGTCGTGTCTCTTGAAAATGAGCGTGTCACTTCTCTTTAAAATGAGTAGAATTATATCAAAAATATTACGATATGATGTAGAATCCTTCAAACTAATAAATTAATTTC